GACTCCAAATACTCACCAAATTATTTTACTCAACTAATATTGAACAATAAGCTATTGGGATCATTGGGGTTTTGTGGCTTTCAATTGTTAGGCTCTTTGGTCCGAGGTAGGTAATATGGAAATGTGTGGCTAATTTTCTTGAATTGAGGTGATTACGCCAAAATTTGAAAGATAGGCGTTTGAAACAATGAATTCACCTCTAGGGACTTTAATAAACTCGATTCTCCAAAATTCACACGTCAACACTTTTGCCTTGAGGCAATGACTCGAGTTTTGAACACAATTCAACAACTAGTCCTTATTTCTCCCTTACAATCTATTCTTCTTCTTCTATTTTTTTTTTTTTTTTTTTTCGAATCAAAGACCTTAGATATATATATATATATATATATATATATATATATATATATATATATATATATATATATATATATATATATATATATATATATATATATATATATATATATATATATATAAATATATATATATAGAAGAAAGATCTTATAAAACCATTTCGACCGACTCCAGGGATGATTATTCAGAAATCTCCACTTTTCTACCTTCTACATATTGGCTAAAAGAAAGAACACCTTTTCTCCGAGGCTCAAATCAAGGTTCTAAGGATAATTTGACAAAAAGGGTAGGCTTGAAAGGCTCAAACGGTTCAAAGAAGGCCCAAATCATATCCCAAATCACTTATTATCAACACTTCGTATCATAAATGTCCTAAGGTGAGATTTAAAACCGAACAAAGCATGATTGAGCACAAATACATTCCAAATTTAAAATGCAAAACATTCAACCAAAGCAATGCACAAAGTGTGATTCCTAGCAATAATTCACTTCTACGTTCCGTTGAATCGAAAGCTAAACAAATACATACTCCTTATCAACATAAAACAAGTAGTCTCATCATCAAACATTGACCATCTACCATCATCATAATTCATCGATGCATCGAACACAATTATTTTTTTTTTTATTTTTTTTTTTTAATAAAAACAAAAATAATAAAACGGCAACTAAAACAAAAACTAAAGCATGCAAAATAAAATAAAATAAAAACACAAATAAAGCGCACATAAACGAAAACAAGTAGTTAACCACCCCCAAACTTAAAATTCACATTGCCCTCAATGTGATTCGCCCGGAGTTTAAGGATAGAAAACACCTGTTTTTAAGCGTCGGGACCATCGTCGGGCTGCTCGTCAACTCCGCCTTGCGCATGAGCATTACCATCTCCGTCATCATCCGAAAGCTCGGGTACCGGCTCAAGAATCGGTGCGGGCAACGGAGCCGGTTCTTCGCACTCGGGATTGCCACATGCCAAATGGCGCACAATGGCTTGAAGCATCTTTCCCGACCACCGTTGGAGGGATTCGATCGTGCTCACCTTGTGCTCCACCGTTGCAAGCCGATTTCTCGTGATCACCAACTCTCGCTCCATTCTTCTTTGAAATCGCCGGTCCGAACTTGTGCTTGGACCCTCGGGCGGAGCTATTGGTTGGTTCTCGACGGGTTGCTCGCCATCTTGGATGGGTGCCTTGTATTGCCGGGCCGCAAGGTCATTCATCGGATTCCGAATTGATGTGAAAATGTCCGTCGGTTTGGTGGGGACCTTCGCCTTCTTGCATAATCCGGTAATGAGGCAAGGGAAATAAAACCCCTTGGAGTTGTTGACCATGGAGGTCCAAAATCGGTCGGATATGATTACGCCAATGTTGATCGGTGTGCCCTTGAGGATGTAGTATGCAAGAGCGCACCGTTCGGGGTCCACGCAAGTCCACGAGCGGGTGGGAATGAGGTTGGCACATATGAACGTAAGGCACGCCTTGCCTACTTGGTTGATGCATTTCCACTCTAACTCGTACTTTTCTTCGGTTGATAGTTCGGACCAAATGGGGGGTCCATCGCACAACACCTCGGCGATTTGATCTCGTGTGACCGCAAGTCGCAATTGCTCCAAATTGAATGGCGTCCTGTGTCGGAGGTGATAGAAAGAGTTGATTGCGTAAGGATTCCACTCGACATTCTTTCCTCGAACCGTGCTCGAGTTCCGATCCTCTGTGAGGAGGATATGGTTGTTGGCGTAGAACTCGCGGACCAATGATAGGTTGATCGAACCCTCCGGTTCCAATAATGCTTGCCAACCTCGTCGTAGAAATTCTTGGTGCAACGGTGCGAATTGTGGAAGGGTGATCTCGTAGGCACGCTCCGTCACTAGTTTCTTCCCCTTTTGCTTCTCGAAACGAGCACTAGCGCCTTCGACACAAAAAGCGTCATCGTCGGGTGTCGGAATTTGGTCGGCTTTCTTGCCCTTCCCCTTGCCTTTTGAAGTGCCCTCGCCTTGTGAAGTGCCCTCTCCGTCACGTCCTCGTTTCCCCATGACTTGAGAATGTGCGTAGAAGGGATTAGGAGTGGATTGATTTGCAAAATTTCCCCCAAACTTAACTTGGTCAATTCGTCGAACACCTCGTGGGCGTTCTTGGTGGAATGGATTTTTGGAGAAATTTGCTTGTTCTTGAATCCCCCCTGTGCAAATCAACAACAAACAACCAAGTTTTAGTATTATGTGTGTGTAATTGGTGAATGGCTAGTGAAATTGTTCAAGAAAATCGAAAATTTTGAAAAGAGGGGTTAGGTGCGAAGTGGGAGAGAAAGAGGGGTTGGGGTTGTGAAGATTGGGGTGTGGAAAACCCCTATTTAAACTGCCCGAATTCTTTTATTCGCACGGCCGTGCGGGATTTTGTGAAGAAATCCGCACGGCCGCACCGTTTTGCGAAATTGGGCAGTAGCCCTTCTTTATTTCGGACGGCCGTGCGAGATTTTAGGCAAAAATCCGCACGGCCGCACCAATGTGCCAATTTGTCCAGTAGCTGCTCCGAAATCTCACACGGCCGTGTGAGATTCCTCCCTCTTTCTTGCACGGCCGTGTGAATAATTGCAATTAGGTCCCTGCAAAAATGAAAACTTCCTATTAGTGCCCCTAAAACTTTTTTTTTTTTTTTTTTTTATAAAATAAAATAAAAGCAAAACTAAAAATAACATAAAATAAATAAAAAAAAACAAAAGCTCGGGTTGCCTCCCGAGAAGCGCTAAGTTTACAGTCTTCAGCCGGACTTTGTCTGCTTCTTTGTTCAAGCTAACGTGACCGAAGTCACTTGGCGATTGAATTCCTCTCCATGATAATGCTTGAGGCGTTGTCCATTGACCTTGAACGATTTTTCGGTCTCGGGGTCCAATACTTCGACTGCGCCATGCGGAAATACGTCGAGTATAGTAAATGGTCCAGACCATCTTGACTTGAGTTTTCCCGGAAACAACTTTAGACGGGAGTTGTAGAGGAGAACCAATTGCCCCTTTTGAAATTCTCGATGCAATATCTTGTTATCGTGCCAACGCTTGGTCTTCTCCTTGTATACTCGATTGCTTTCATATGCATTCAATCTCAATTCATCGAGTTCGTTTAGTTGCAGCATTCGTTTCTCCTTGCACGCTTCCATATCGAAATTCAGCTTTTTAATTGCCCAAAACGCATTATGCTCCAATTCAACCGGTAGATGACACGCCTTGCCATAAATCAACCGAAACGGTGTCATCCCAATTAGTGGCGTCTTGTAAGCTGTACGATATGCCCAAAGTGCATCATCTAATTTTCTCGACCAATCTTTCCGGGTAGGACTCACAACCTTTTCGAGGATGTTTTTGATTTCACGATTCGTGACCTCGGCTTGCCCGTTCGTCTGAGGGTGGTAGGCCAATGCGACCTTGTGCTTTACTCCATACTTGGCCAAGAGTGCCTCGAATTGTTTATTGCAAAAGTGGGTGCCTCCATCACTAATAATTGCTCGTGGTGTTCCAAAACGAGTGAAAATCTGTCTTTTTAAAAAAGCACAAACCACTGCAGAATCATTAGTAGGAAAGGCGGCCGCCTCAACCCATTTAGATACATAATCGACGGCCACTAAGATGTATAGGTTATTGAATGATGGGACAAAAGGCCCCATAAAATCTATTCCCCATACATCAAAGGGCTCTACTTCGATCATTGTATTTAATGGGAGTTCGTGCCTCCTTGAAATATTACCAACTCGCTGGCATCTATCACAACTTGAAACAAAATTATAGCAATCTTTAAACAAAGTTGGCCAAAAGAAACCTGATTGAAGCACCTTTCTCGCCGTGCGCTCTCCTCCATAATGTCCCGCATAATCCGAGCCATGACAGTGGAAGAGTATATCTCCTTGCTCGCTTTCCGGTACGCATCTTCGAATGACTAAATCGCTGCATTGTCTAAACAGAAAGGGTTCTTCCCAAAAGTAGAAATTCACATCGTGTAAAAACTTTTTACGTTGATGAAAAGTGAGCTCGGGTGGTAGTACATGGCTAACTAAATAATTCACAAAATCCGCATACCATGGTACTTCTTGATCATTAATAACAAGCAATTGTTCATCCGGAAAATTTTCATTAATGCAAATTGGATCTTTGACATCCGTTTCTAGCCTAGATAAATGATCGGCTACTTGGTTTTCGCTACCCTTACGGTCACGAATTTCCAAGTCGAACTCTTGCAACAATAACACCCACCTAATAAGTCTAGGCTTTGCCTCTTTCTTTTCTATCAAATATTTTAAAGCCGAGTGATCCGTGAAGACAATGACTTTGGTGCCTATAAGATATGATCTAAATTTTTCGAATGCAAAAACAACTGCTAGCAACTCTTTTTCAGTGGTGGTATAATTCAATTGTGCATCGTTGAGAGTTTTACTAGCATAGTAAATTGAATGAAAAATTTTATTCTTTCTTTGACCCAACACGGCACCTACCTCAAAATCGCTGGCATCACACATAAGCTCAAAAGGTTCATTCCAATCGGGCACAACAATAATAGGGGCAGTTACTAACCTTGTTTTCAAGTCGTCGAAGGCTTTGAGGCATTCGTCATTGAAATCGAATTTGACGTCCTTCTCCAACAAATTGCACAGTGGTTTGGCTACCTTGGAGAAATCCTTGATGAACCGCCTATAGAATCCCGCATGTCCCAAGAAACTTCGAATCCCCTTTACGGAAATTGGTGGCGGTAGTTTCTCGATTGTCTCGATTTTTGCTCGATCGACTTCTAACCCCTTCTTTGACACCTTGTGTCCTAGCACAATCCCCTCTTGCACCATAAAGTGGCATTTTTCCTAGTTGAGCACCAAGTTTGTCTCTTCACACCTGCGAAGAACCTTAGCCAGTATTTGGAGACAAGTGTCATACGTATCACCGAAGACAGAAAAATCATCCATAAAAATTTCAAGACCACATTCAACCATGTCCGTAAAAATTGCCATCATACAACGTTGAAAAGTAGCAGGAGCATTGCATAAACCAAAAGGCATACGTCTAAAAGCAAAGGTACCAAAAGGACAAGTAAAAGTGGTTTTGTCTTGATCCTCCGGAGCTATGGCGATTTGGTTATAACCGGAATACCCATCTAAAAAACAATAAAATTCTTGACAAGCTAGCCTATCAAGCATTTGATCAATAAAGGGCAACGGGAAGTGATCTTTTCGAGTGGCTTTATTCAATTTTCTATAATCCATGCAAATTCGCCAACCCGTTACTGTCCTAGAGGGGATTAATTCATTTTTTTCGTTTTTTATGACAGTCATTCCCCCCTTCTTGGGTACACATTGTACCGGACTAACCCACGCACTATCGGAAATAGGAAAAATAATACCTGCGTCTAGCCACTTGATGATTTCTTTCTTCACAACTTCCTTCATGATGGGGTTTAATCGCCTCTGTTGTTCCACCGAAGATTGATGGCTCTCCTCTAAAATGATCTTGTGCATGCACAAAGTTGGACTTATGCCCTTGATGTCGGCAATTGTCCATCCAAGTGCTAGCTTGTGCTCTCGCAAGACCTCCAAAAGTCTCTTTTCCTGTAGACATGTCAAAGATGAAGAAATAATAACAGGTAAGGTCTCATGAGCTCCAAGATACATATATTTTAAATGAGATGGTAAAACTTTAAGCTCAAGTTTCGGAGGTTCGATCACTGAAGGCTTAAAAGTGACAGATAACGGGATCTCCGTCTCCAAACTCTCAAAGCGTGGTCTTGACAGCGGCTTTGCCGAATCCAACCAACATAGTTGTTCCGTCACTTCTTCTTCTTCAACTGATGTTCCTACACACAAAGATGCTTCCAACGGATCCGCAATTAAAGGTTCAACAAAATCAAAATTCAATTGGTCTAACACATCAAAAGCAAAGCATTCATCAACCTCTTGAGGGTGTTTCATTGTACGGAAAACATCAAATTTAATCGTTTCATCCCCCAAAGACATAGATAAAATTCCGTTATACACATCAATTATAGTTCTACCCGTTCTCAAAAAAGGTCTTCCCAAAATCAAGGGAATTTCTTTATCTTCTTCCATATCAAGAACTACAAAATCTGCAGGAAAGATGAATTTATCTACTTTAACCAACACATCCTCTACTATTCCTTTTGGGTATATGAGTGATCTATCGGCTAACTGTAAAGTCACAGATACCAATTTTATATCTCCTAATCCCAAACTTTGAAAAACCGAGAAAGGCATGAGATTAATGCTCGCACCTAAATCTATGAGAGATTTTGCAAAGAACTTACCTCCAATAGCGACTGGAATCGTAAACTTACCCGGGTCTCCAAGCTTTGGTGGAATGGGGCGAGTAAGAATGGCGCTGCATTGTTCGGTTAGAGCTATCATCTCATGTTCACCGAATTTTCGTTTCTTTGATACCATGTCTTTCAAAAATTTCACCCAATGAGGCATTAGTTCAAGTGCTCTAGTAAAAGGAATATTAATATGTAATTCATTCAATTGCTCAAGAAAACTTTTGTAATACGACTCCTTTTTCGCCTTTATCTGGCGTTGAGGATAAGGTACCTGAGGGGTCGGCTTAGGCGCAACGACCCTTTTCTCACCTGGTGGATCTGTCAGCGTCTCCGCTTCTTTTTCTTGTTGCGCCTCCCCATCCTTGCTTGTTGCCTTCTGCGCCACTTCTTCTAGTTGTCTTCCATTCCTCAAACTGACGGCTTTGCATTGTTCGTTGGTGCCCTTTCGAGGGTCTTCCGTATTTGACGGTAGTGTACCGGCTGGCCTCGCGTTCAATTGGGTCGCAAATTGGCCCATCTGTGTTTCCAAATTTCGAATGGATGCTTGGGTGGTCTTCATAAATTGGGCCAAGATATTCGCGAGGTCTCCGCCTTGAGGTGGTGCTTGAGGCGGATTTTGGAATCCGGGTGCTGGTCGTGAATAATTAGGCGGTTGCCCTTGAGGGGGTGCTTGCCTTTGTCCCTGCTGATTTCCTCCCCACCCAAAATTAGGGTGATCCTTCCATCCCGGATTATACGTGTTGGAGTACGGGTTCCTGTGTTGTCGGTTGGCGTCATGCACATAATTTAGCGACTCCGTTTCGTCTACGCTTTGATCGGGAGCTTGGACTGCATGGACTTGCTGAGTCTGCAAGGCTGCTACTTGCTTCGATAGCTTCTCTAATTGGGCCGTGATTGCAGTGACTCCGTCTAACTCCAAAATTCCTCCCGTCTTGATTGCTCCGCTATTCGACCGGTCCGATGCTCGCATGTATTTATTTCTAGCGATTCGCTCCAAGAGTTCGTATGCTTCGTCATAGGTCAAACTCATGAACATACCTCCAGCTGCAGAGTCGAGTACTGTCCTCGAGTTGTCTTGCAGTCCATCGTAAAATATTTGCAGTTGGCGCCACTCTTGTAGTCCGTGATTCGGGCACCTCCTTACTAGCTGTTTGAACCGCTCCCACGTCTCGAATAATGCTTCACCGGCTTCTTGTATGAAGTTTTGAATTTCTCGCCGGATTCTCTCAGTTTTTGTTGGGGAGTTGTATGTGTTCATAAAGAGTTGCGCTAGCTGGGCCCACGACGAGATGGAGTGCGGTGCACGAGTTTGCAACCATTCTCGGGCTGCTCCTTGTAGGGAGTGCTTGAACAGGCGGAGTTGCAGTGCTTCGGGTGTTACTCCGTTCATCTTGTGCGAGTCACACGTTTCGAGAAAGTTGACCAGGTGAAGATGTGGATCTTCATGAGCCAGTCCGCTGAATAGACCATTGTTTTGGAGCATCGTGAGGAGTCCCGCTCGAATCTCGAAATTGTTGGCTTCAATGGGGGGCTGCTGGATGCTTGATTGGAACCCATTGAGTGTCGGAACGGTGTACTCGTGCAAGGCTCGTTGACGCGGTGGTGGATTAATTATCTGGCGTTGGTTTTGCTCGTTGACGATTTCTCTCGCCACATTAGGTGGTTGCCTTTGGTCACCTTCCCCACGATTATTCTCGTCTTCCATCGTTGCTGGAGTATTTTGGGCTAACCGTTGATTTCTCCTGGCTTGCCTAAACGTTCGCTCAATTTCGGGATCAAGAGGTAGCAAGCTCGTGTCGTGTCCTCTTCGCATAAAAAGTACCTAAAATAAAATAAAATAAAATAATTAAATAAAATAAAAAAAATTGGCTGAAGTAAGGAAAATTGCTCAAATTTAATATTAGGATAAATAAATAATTTAGCCGTATCCCCCGGCAACGGCGCCAAAAACTTGTTGGGTGCTAAATACCAACACGCAAGTGTACTTATCGCAAACAAGTAGTAAAGTAGACTCGTGAGAGTCGGATGTCGATCCCACAGGGAATACGCAAATTATTTAATCCTAAGTACCAAATCTTAACAATTACGATTTTTATCCAGCCTACGCAAGTTTGTCAAATTAATTAACTAAATAAATTAAACTAATTAAGAAAGCAAGTAATCACGAGAAAATATCAATAATAAACGGATCTAGGATTTTATCTTCCCCCTATGCGATAATTCTTCACCCGATTAATCTCCTATCATGCAAGTTACGATTCCCGATTATTAACCCAAGACACAAAATTATTCATAACCAGCTGTCGCTGCGCTATAAACCTATTATTCATAAAAGATTCACTATATGTCTATGCAAACCTAATATAAATAAAGCATTAAATAACAAATCTCGCAAACGGCTACCTAAGGTATTATCTGTATGTCTACGATAATACATGCAATTAACACACACATTCGGTGAAAAACTACTCGAAGGCTCTTCTATCCCTGTTCTAATTATTAAAACGATCTGTCAATCAATTCTAACAATAACAAATAGCAACATAAGTTAGCTACGCTCATGCACTAAATAAGATCAAGATAGAAGAAATAATCGAAGAATTAAACTTGCATAAAAGTATAAAAATAGGTTCGAATTACCACATAGGGTTCCAATAAAATCCTAGAATAAAAACTTAGCTACTCATGTTCGTAACGAAAAGCATAATAAAAATACGAAAATTCATAAAAATCAGAAAAGAAAAGGAAAACTAGGATAAAGAGTCGTCAAGTCTTCGTCTTCGTTCTCTTGCTCCTTGATTGCGTGTAGAAAAGATGAAAGATAAAAACTCCAAATCAAGATGAAAGGTAAAAGATCTAAGATAATCCTAATTGTGTGCTTGTGGCCTTTAAATAGGGTGCAAAAATATAATAGGGCGGGTTTCCTTGTGTAATTAAAATTCCTTCACTGCGCCATCACGACCATCCGGACGGCCGTGTGAGATTTATGCCTGAAATCCGTACGGCCGCGCGGTCCTTGATACTCCAGAATTCTGCTTTTTCACTTTTGGCCCACTTTTTCTCCGAATTTGCAGTTTTCACCCCAAAAGTTGCCAATTCTTCAATTTGCACCTAAAATACAAATAATAACCAAATTAAACACCAATTATCGTAAAAACACATCAAAAGCTCCAATTAAAAGGTACAATTAAGTGTATAAATATACACTTAACAGCAGTTCCCCGAGGCTGCCAGATCGCGATCCAAACAACCCAAATCGCGATCTGGGCACGCCTTTTGAGAAAGATATTTTGTTTTGCAAAGGTTCTTGAGGAAGCTTTGCATTTCACTATAAATAGAAAGGCCTTTTCATTCTTCATTTTTTTCTTCGACATTTTACGATTTTCGACAGTTCTTCGTGGGAATCATCAACGGGGGTTTCGACTTGGGTTTTTCTTTCGCAATTTCTTTACGTTTTGTTCTTCATTTCCTTTGTACATTGTTTTGACATTATGAACTAAAAAAGTTTTCTTCTATGGCAATGAAGCCTTGTATATATTGATTTCGATCGTCATTTTTGTTATCTATTTGTCGTGTTTCGATTTGGTTTATGTTTTCCTGTATTAAATGCTTCTGATTGTTTGATCAGCTCTCGGATTGATATTAAATAGGAATGAACTCGAGAGAGGATTTTTTGTTTGAAGTTAGGAAAACATAGCTCGGGGTGTGGAAACGGAGACGTGATGCACTTCGGGTAGCCCTTAAGGACTTGACCTAAATGCTCTCTTAATAGCAGGTTCTGAACGGAGAAGTCGGACCTGTGGGTAGACTCTAACTACACTGGAGACGGGGGTTAGAGTACATTAGCGTTTGTGTTAACGAATAGGAATGTGGCGTTAGATAACGGATTTGTAGATCGTTGTTGATTATACATAGGTGGATTTGGCCGTAGAAGTCCCCTTTAAATCGAAATCCCCCGCTTTGAGTTGTCGTTACTTTATTTACGTACATTCTATATTTGCATGTTTACGATCTTGCGTGCTTTTAAATTAGGGTTTCTCACCATTCCAAATATTTACGATCGGCTAGATAATATAACGATAATATAATTACACTACTCAGCATGTGAATATACAAGGTTCCTGTGGATCGATATCCAGAACCACTGTTCTGCAAAATGCGATACTGTATACTTGCGGTAATTTATACGTGAGGAAAACGCGTATCAACAGCGCATGGATCTCACGCGCCCCCGTCGTTGAGCGTGTCCGTCGCCACCGCACCGCCGCTGCTCCTCCCGACTACACGGATTGGTTTCCGTGGCAGTTTGCATCAATCCAATAGTTCGTCTCACGCTTCAAGAGGTAATCTTTCGGATCCGTTAGATACAACATTTTATTTAATTAGATTAAACTATGTGCTATATGTTTTTCATGAAATTGATATGTATGTTTTACTTGATCGTTTTTCATGAAATTAAATGTATGTATATTACGTTTCGTTGCGAGCATGCTATGTGTTTTAATTATCGAATTAATATGCTTTTAATTTTCACTGGAAGCGTTAAGGTACGTAATTAATTGCTTAAATACGAATCGAGCATGTGATTATATTATTTAAATCGTTTATTTCATGTAATTTTTTTGTTTTCTGCTGCGTACATGTGCTCGATTTGTTCGTATGTCTAAATAAAGTTTATGATAATATAATTACGGTACTTGGTAAATTTAGGAACTTAATTCCCTGTGGATCGATATCTGGAATTCACTATTTTATAAAACGCGATATTGTACACTTGCAGTAATTTATACGTAGGTTTTACGCGTATCACCTATGATGCACGGACACAGAAATGCGGACATAGCGATACGCGGACACGGACACGGACACGACGATAGGGCATTTTAAAAAAAACTAGGATACGGGTACGCGGGGAACACGCGTAAATATTAAAAATATAGGGACATATTTATAGATTATAAAAAATGCAGGGGTATATTTATAAATTGTAAAAATACTTATGTATAAATAATATTTGTAGAAATTTTATTCTTTTTTATATTTCAATTTAAAATTGTAATGTTTTCAATATTTTATAAAAAGTGACGCCGGCTAGTGATAGAAAATGAGAGTCACTAAGAAGTCCGAAGTCCCGAAAGTTTTTTAAATGGACTTGAGTTTACTCCAAAAAAAAAAAGCATGAATACATTTTAGGGATAATTAGCAAGAACCCCCTCATCTAGGTAAATGAGTTAAGAAAACACCCCCTTCCAAAAATAATTAGAGAAAACCCCCTTACCTAATATTCCACTCAAGTGATATTTTCATAATTCCAAAACTACCCTTAATTGTCTACTATACTCTTTCAAACCCTAATCTTATTTTCTCTTCTCTCCCGTCTCTTCTTTCCCCGTCCATTCTCTGTTTTTTTTTCTCCATTTTATACTTTTCTGTCTCAATTCTTAGATTACTCTCTCTTGATCGGAAGATGAAGAACCAACCGGAACGGAACAACGATGCTAATTCCGTTGAAGCCAT